GTTGTACAGTGCATATACTTCTGGTTTCTGTTGGTGTGGAACAATGTGGGCTTGTGTGAGTGTGTAGTAGTGGCTGAAGTTAAAAGTGGTGAATGAGTACGTGAGGAGACTGGAGATGGTGTAGCCTGTTCAGTGGCTCATTGCAGTCTGCCTGCTGGGGTTTGCTGCACACATAGCTCAGATGCTTTGTTGGCAGAGCCAGGCTTGCAGGTAATCACTGTTTTTACTTATATACCATGTAAAATAAAGTCCTTTTTTTTTTTTCCTTCTTTTTTTAAAGTGGTGTAAACTGAGTTAGCTGATATGATTAATATGAGACATTTTTTCTTGCTTGCTACTGTTGCCAGCAGGGGTGTGTAAGCAGAAATCTGGTTTATATGGAGTAGCACAACTCTTGGAAAAGAGTGACATGCAAATAGTGTAGCCTTCCAGCAGATGAGTTGTAATGAGCACTCTCTGGGCTGAAGCGTCTGAGGTGCTGTAGCCGAATCTCTTTATCAGAAACCTCCTTTGTACTTGTGAGCTGAAAGCACATACTTACGTGTGGCCCTGACTAAAAGCTGTCGTGAATAACAAATTTTAAAATATTGCATAATATCCTGTTGAAGGCTGAAGGGCGAGAATTTTGGGAATACTGAGATAGCACTCTGCCTGAATCACATGGGAAATAACATTTCACAGAATCACAGAATGATAAGTGTTGCAAGAGACCTCTGAGGATCATTTAGTCCAAACCCCCTTGCCAGAGCAGGATTACCTGTAGTAGATCATGCAGGACCATGTCCAGATGAGTTTTGAAAGTCTCCAGAGAGGAAGACTCCACAATCTCTCTGGAAAGCTTGTCCCAGTGATTTGTTATCCTTACAGTAAAGAAATCTTCCCTTATGTTTAGGTTGAACCTCCTTGTTTCCAGTTTGTGACCATTACCCCTTTTCCTGTCAGTGGATGTCACTGAGAAGAGTCTGGTCCCATCCTCCTGACACCTTCCCTTTAGATATTTACAACCATTGATAATATCTCCCCTCAGTCTCCTCTTCTCCAGGCTGAACAGACCAAGCTTTCTCAGCCTTTCTTCATATGGCAGATGCTCCATTCCCCTCATCATCTCTGTGGCCCTGTGCTGGACTCTCTAGAGTACTTCTTGTCCTTCATGAACTGGGGAGCCCAGAATTGGCTCTCCAGGTGAGGTCTCACCAGGGGAGAGCAGAGGGGGAGGATAACCTCCCTTGACCTACTGGCCACACTCTTGTTAATGCACCCCAGGATGGCATTGGCCTTGTTGGTGCGAGGGCACATTGTTGGCTCATGGTCATGCTGTTGTCCACCAGGACTCCCGGGTCCTTTTCCCCAGTGCTGCTCTCCAGCATGTCAGCCCCCAACCTGTACTGATACATGGGGTTGTTCTTCCCCAGGTGCACTACTCTGTGCTTGCACTTGTTGAATTTCATTAGGTTTCTCCCTGTCTGACTCTCCGGCCTGTCTAGGTCACACTGGATGGCAGCACAGCCTTCTGGTGTGTCAGCTACTCCTTCCAGTTTTATGTCATCAGCAAACTTGCTGAGACGCCACTCTCTCCTTGGACTCGGTACCAACTCCTGGGGAACACCACTAGACACAGGTCTCCAATTAGACTCTGCCCCACTTAGCACAACTCTGAGATCTGTCCTTCAGTCAGTTTTCAGTCCACCTCACTGTCCAGTCATCCAACCCACACTGGAGATGAGCCTAATCTGCCTGTAGTTACCTGGGTCCTCCTTCTTGCACTTTTTGAAGATGGAAGTGACTTCTGTGATTTCTACAGGTTGAGTTCTGTATTACTCTGTTAGGTAAGGTAGGTGGTTATAGGTTGTGCAATAACTTGACTATTAGTGAAATTTCTCTGAAGCAAGCTGCAAAGTACAGTACTGCATCACTCTGTATACTGCAGTAAAATTGTAAAAGTGGTAGTATTTTTGTCTGCGCCTGCACCATTAGGAGGAGTTGCACAGATTATGAGCTTCTTTAGTAGACCTCTTGCTTCTGTGGATTTAGGACATCCTGATGACAGGAGCCAGCTCTGGTGTTTTTTAATTTTTTTTTAACTGTAAATGGTGTCCTAGAGCCTTTTATCTCAACACTGTTTGCCTTTAAAAAAAATAACAACAAACAACAACAAAAACCTGAACAAATAGACAAAAAATCCCAACACAGCATAGGCACAGGTCAAAGGGAAAAGACAAAACTTGGCTGAAGAAAGAAAAGTGTTACATGAAAAATTCAGGTGCATGGGGACTTGCAAGGAAATGTGTTTAAATAGCTCAGCTGGATCTTCCCCCATGCACTTTACTCAAACTATATTTGTGCAACCAAATAACTGTGCTCTGTAGGGTGTGAAGGGCTGTATAGCCAATTGCTAAACTTGTGTTTGTGTGATGCTATCTGAAGACTTCCACAGAGTGGAAGTAAGTCAGTAATTTGAATCAGGTTATCAATGTGTCTTAAAGGAAAGGCAGTAGTTGCTCTACAGGATACAAAAGAACCTTCCTTCAGCTGGAGAATTTCAAGAAACACAGGAAAAGGGAAGGAAGTGTTGAAATGGTTACTCCTGTTGTAATGGAAAAATATAGAGTAAATCTTTCGATTGTCTTAAGTATCTCCTTATTGCCTTTTTTCAGTTTTTTTTATTCTGTTATGGGTAAGAGACTACAGTCTCTTTTCCACCCATCCTTGGGGTGACCTGTGTGTACATGTGAGTGGGATAGTTGGAAGACTTTCGCAGTTTGCAAAATGAGACTTGCAAACAAGGTGCAATGCTTTGTAGAAAACAAAGTCTGCTTGAAATACGACAGAAGTGGTTTTGGTGTCTGTTGCCAGGAATGACTGATTTAAAGGGCTAGCAATACCTTAAGAAGTTTTACTAAGCAAAATTGTGATAAAACATTTGGTAAAAGCAAGTTAAGTTTTGCATAACCATTTTGGATTTTGTTAATGTAGCTGAGCAGTTAACAAACATGTTAACTCTACCACTTTACAATGAGCACTCTGTAGTAATTTAGTCGGTGTGATAGATAAGTGCCATATGGCATCCTATGATTCTATCTGAAAGATTTTTAACTAACTTTAAGGAATTATTGGTCCAAATAATTTTAAAAAATTTCAGTGCTGGATCAGATTTCTTTAAGTTTTAATCAAAAAGATAGTTCAGTGTCTGTTTCAGCTAGACAAAAATAATGCCTTTGAATCAGTTGAAAAGCTCCTGCACTATTCAGCTTTTGACACCACTTCTAAAATGTAGAAATGATAGACTATTCACTGCTGAAACATGATGAGTTGAGTGCAAAGGCACATGTGGTGAAAGCAATATGTTCCATGGTGCTTGTAATACATTGGGCTATTAAGTTTGAGAGCAGAGGTTTAGGTTTGGGAAATAGATTCTCAAAGAACAGATAGGAGAATGGTGAAGATCAGTTTGCTACAACTAACAGGTGCAAGAAACACTATTGGAGGATTTGGTGTAACCTTTGCACTCTGGCATGGCTACTCCAGTTAATGTTTCAGTGCCTTTATTGTCATTGTACATATAACTGGAGATGTATTGTCTCCCTTGAAAAAGGGCAATCCAGTCTGTTCCGTAATTACAGCTCTGTGAAGTATCAGATTTTGTAGTATGGGAGACAAAAAGCTTTTTTGCTCCTTCTCAGAATAAGTTTATAGTTGTCACATTTTTCCTTCACCAGCGTGTCTGGCACTTCAGAGTATAGCTCAGACTTCCTTTTGTTAATGGAAGACAAAGAGTTTTATTTTCATAATTAATTTTGCTATTTAATACATGACTTAGACCTAAATCCCCTTCAGGATTTGGTTTAGAAAGTTAGGTTTCGGTTAACTGAAACTTGAGCAGCCTTCTCAAAAAATTCCATGCCTAAGAAACATTAATTAAAAAAAATTTAAAAGTTAGGCCAGCTTTGTGAATACTCCATACAATACAACACAATTGACCAGAAGGCCTGAGAAAACAGTCAAATGCCATTTTGCATCTCTTAAAGCAAACCAGAAAAGTGTGGTAAGTTAGAACTGCTGCCAAGGATGGGCTGGGCAGTGGTGGGTTTGGTAGGCTTTCCTCACTAGTTGCTTCAGAAAAAGATGGAAACAATACCAGTACCTGAAATGGAAGTATTATTCCCTTTTGGGTAACAGGTACAGAGATCTAAAGCAATTATGTTGCTCCCAAGCTTCTCAACAGCTGAAAAAAAAACACATGAGGTTTGTTGAGCAAGTTGCAAGTAACTTTCTTACAGGACTATTCCTGAAGCACCTTTGCTAGCAACCACATCCCACTGTGAGTAAATTAAGCATTCGCAGGCTCTGTATGCCTCAGCTAAGTAGAATTGTTGACTAAATTGCCATTAGCATGAATATAAATAAATCTTGTTTGGTATTTTACATATTGCATTTAAATTATTTTTACTGTTGCAAGTGTGGAAGAAAGGCTTGTCTCTCTCAGGATCTTCTCCATAAAGGCAAACAATGAGGAGTTTGTTCAGCTTCTGCGTGCAGAAGAAATACATTTAGGCATTCTTTGTATAAGCGTGGGGAATAAGGGGCTGCTAGCTTTCTTGTTGTTCAGCCTGTTTCTTAATTGCACAGTACAAGTTAACTGTGAAAACACCGTGTGAAAAATACCTGGTGGAACTATGAGGAAGTGGCCTGTGCTGTACTGCATTCCCATACCAGATGCTTTTGAAATTTTGTTGAAGATACAGATGCACTGTTTTTTCAAGTTGTTAGAGCATGGCAAATGACCAGTAGTAACTGAGTGACTGATAACTTTGTAAGTAGCCAAAGTTTCAGTGGCTGTTCTTTTTAAGCAAGCATGCAGCCTAAAATTGCTTTTTTGTTGTTGTTTTGTTGTGTTTGTTGTTGGGTTATTTTCTTTTATGTATTGTACTTTGTATTCTGAAACCCTATCTCTTATTTTTTTCCCCTCTGTATGTGTGTGCCTGTTCCAGTGACTTTATAACATGCAAGACATTGATGCCAGGGGGAGCTCCCCTGCTTTCCTCCGGCCTCAGAATGGGAGCGGTCACAGGTCTTCGGGGTATGTCCCAGGGAGGATTGCTCCTCTCCGCCCCCCGCCGCCCTCGCAGAGCCATGCTGCAGCTGAATTTACCTCTGCAAGACAAGAAGCCCGGACAAGACTCCCATCCTTACCAGTGTATCAGCATCGCCGCCAAGTAGAAGCCGCTAGGCATAAAAATACTCTCATTTGCTTTGCCATTTCTAGCCTTTCACTTTTTGTTGCACTGGGGATCATTTTGGGAATAGCTTCAAAATACGCTCCAGATGGTAAGTTCTTCTGCAAACAGAATCATCCTTTAAGTTATGGTCCCTGTGAACTCAGTGCAATAATTCAGCATCAGGATTAGTTTTATCTTAAATAAATCTTAAGTGCAAAAATAGGATGCTTACTGCAACTTTAAGACAGAGGGAAGCTGAGTTTGGAGGTGAAGATCAGCTCCTTTATCTGTTACCAATGTAATTTTTATGTGTTTTTACTGTGAATTATTTTATTACCTTACATGAAGCAAAAAGGCGTAGCAGTAAATGGGGACTACTGTTGAGGGGGAAAGAAGTACTAGTGTTATGTAAGAGTGATTTTTTTTTTGTGTTCAGAAGTAGCTATCTGATATGTTCACAAATTGCAGACAAAACAAAATCCCTTCTGTTTAAGCAGTAGTTAAGGAAGGTAGTAAAAGTCCTAGAGTAAAACCATTTTAAAATCTGCCCGAATTTACACCAACAGTGTGTATTTGCTTTGTTTCTGCACAAATTAGACAGTGACCTTTTTGATCTAGTAGCCTTGATTTTTTTATATATTTTTTTCGGCTCCTCTGAGAAAAGTGGCCACCTTTCATGGAATTTGGAAAACCTCAAAAATGTGTCGGTGGTTATAAAATATGAACAGGTGATGTGATTGACTGCTGATCACTAAGTATACATCCCTCTAGCTGAATACTACTAGGAGTTGCACTTGCTAAAGTTTGGTGGTGGAGTTTGGAGCATGGGTTATTTTGTTGTGTTGTTTTTTTATAAAGGTAGAAGTTGGGTTTCTAAAAACTACACAGGGTTTTGAAGTGAAACTGTTAACTGGTGTAACCCAACAGACTTAGACTCACAGAATCACAGAATGGTTTGGGTTGGAAGGGGCCTTAAAGTTCATCTACATCTAACCCTCTGCCGTGGGCACCACCCACAAGACTAGGTTGCTCCAAGCCCCATCCAACTTGCCCTTCAATACTTCCAGGGATCTGGCATCCACAGCTTCTCTGGTCAACCTGGGCCAATGCCTCACCACCTTCAGAGCAAAGAATTTCTTCCTAATGTCTGACATAAATCTTTCAGCTTGGAACCATTACCCCTTGTCTTTTCACTACATGGCCTTGTAAAAAATCCTTCCCTAGCTTTCTTGTAGTCCCTTCAGGTACTGGAAGGCGCTCTGAGGTCACCCCCGAGCCTTCTCCAGGCTCAGCAACCCCAACTCTCAGCCTGTCTCCATAGCAGAGGTGCTTCAGCCCTCTGAGCATGTTTGTGGTCTCCTCTGGACTCCCCCTAACAGTTCCATGTCCTCCTTAACTGGACACAGAAAGTATCTATACTGTTGTTGGGTTTTTATTCTTGTTTTATTTGGTCTTTTAAAATTAGGCCATAAAAACTGAAAAAAAACCTCCTAATGAACCAACTAGAAGGGAACTTAATGACAAAGGTGTAGAGGTGGGGGAATGAGAGAGAAAGGCTCAATGAACATGAAAACTGCTGGCTGCCAGTGGTGGATTGAGTGAGCCCAGACTGGTGGATGGGCCTCCTGGCCTATGGTGGACCTGGAGGCTGGTCTGGTGGTGTGATGCTGGCTGGATGCTCCTGTGCAGGGGTTGATGAGGAGTCTTGCAGGGGACTCCTGGCACTGTACTGTGGTGTCAGAGGAACTGTGCTGGAGGTGGGTCCACCTTCATATGTCTTTGGGTGGGTATACCTCAATAGGTTGGGTTTTTTTCCTCTTCTTCTGTATTGACTTCCATGGTCTTCTCTTGGTCTTGAGGTGGGTCACCTCCATAGGCTCAACCCCATCAACCACATGACCCAGCTTCATCTTCCTTCATGGGCCCTTCTGCCATCTCTCCTCTCCCTTAATCACACTTTGGTTGCCACCCATCTTGACGCTGACTTTTGTCACTGGACATCTTGGCATCCAGGTGCCTTAAAGTATAAAAAGTCCTTCCTCAGCTTCTTGCAGGGCCCCTTCAGGTGCTAGAAGTCCACTGTAAAGTCTCCCCAGAGCCTTCTGTTATCCAGAAGAATTTATTTAAATTCTCCAGTTTTACAGATGCATCAGGTTTTAAAACCCAGTAGAGTTGTTTTAAGGTATGCCATAACAAAAAGCAAATTTGACTTTATAACTGAGTAGATTCACTCAGGAAAAAAAAAAAAAAAAAAAAAGTTAAAATTTCAGAACAGAAAAGTAGACAAAAAAATCCTCCAAAACACAACAAGTCAAAAATTAAGCTACAGGAGATGGAGCTGAGAGGCCACACTGGTTTCCTAATACTGGTTTAGGTGCTTTGTTCCACTTTAATCTATTCCTGCAAACTAGCAGGAATCTCTGAAGACAAACTCTCCTTTTATAGCTTCATGTCATGCCAACATATCAATACCAAGAGTTGGGAACTTTTTTCCAGTATCTCAGGATAAGCCGCTCCTTGAGGCCGTTTCATTAGTCAGCTCTTTAGGGGATGAAGGATCATGAACCAAAAAGGTCATGAACCAAGATCAAACGGCTCAGTTTTGTATTTTTATGACCCCCTCAGATGTTTTGCCAGAATTGCAGTTCCTTTGCAGAAGGTGCTTTATGCAAAACATTCACATGGAATTAGAAGGCAGAATGAGTGCCTATTAATAAAAAATAAATTGCTTTGTTTATGAGGTGCCTGGCTCCCCAGCCCTTGAATGAAAACACAGAATATGCCATCTATATTTATGTGCTCCTCTGGGCTTCTGCCATCATCCCATTTTCAGTAATAAAACAAGCAGTTCTATAAATGCTGCGTCAGGTATCAATCTTGATAAACAGGGGCTTTTACTAATCTGAAAAATAATTTTGTATACTTCATTCTTCTTCTACCAATGGTTCCTCAATGGCTTTTGGCATAATAGCTTAGAAGATTTGGATACCAAAGTCGATGCAACACAGGCTGAACAAATAGGATAAAAATTTGAAAATTTCAGAGGACAGTAGAAAATGAATGCATACATTTAGGAAGAGCACTCTTTGTGGTGGCTTGCCAAGGTCTCTTCTAGTTGCACAGTTCTAACAATTATAAAGCAAAACAAAAACCTATGTAACTAGAAAGTTTTTGCTGTCTTGTGATTCAGATCACTGGTAAAAGAGGTGCATATGTGCAGTAAGTACTTTGTTCAGAGCCAAGGTCAAGGGAAGGCTGAAGGCTGACTTAGCCAGTTGACTCAGAGAAGGCCTCAGGAGAGGGGAAGAAAACTTTTCTGCTTTGGTACCAAGACTAACTTTTTAGTTAATGAAAAAATATAGATTTTTATGACAGTTTTAGTAGAAGTGGGACGTTACCGTGTGTGGTAGGATACATAAAATAATACTCTCATTAGGTTTTAAAAGCTGATAATGTGAAAGAGATGTTTGGTGGGTTTTTTGAAGTGTTTTTTGAATGGTTTTGCTTCATCCACAGTAGCTTATTCCAGACTCACTGAGTTGTGTGGATTTTTTGCACTGAGTGAATGGCTAAGGGCTAAGGAGTAACCCAAAGTCATTACTGCTTTTTTTAATGGCCCACTGGTTGTCCATGGAAGTCCAGGCCAATTTTCAGCATTAATTGTTGCATTGTCTTTTTGAAGTTTCCCTGCATTATCCTTTAAAAAAAATAAAATCCCCAAACAAACATACACCCATAGAATCGAGGCCCTGACAGGAGAGAAACTCCTTCAGGCACCAAGGAAAGGCTGGATCAAATGTCAGTGTTGTTGCAGCAGCTCCCCAGAAGTTTCCCAACAAGTTGAAATGTTAATAGACTCAGATTCTACCTAGCACATGCAGCCAATGGCATCAGTTCTGGCTAGAAGTGTTCTTCTTTAGGGTTAGTTGAAAATCCATCTTGTCAGTACTTTTAATAGCTGTTCACAAGATGTTGGAGGGGATGTGAGACTTCGTAGTAATTGCATGTAAATCCTATACCTCTGGCATACCTTCCCCAAAGGTAAAATGATACTTGTTCGTTTTTCTTTTTCTGCCTATCAGCTGTTTTCTTGTTTCCTCCTTGCTTTTTTATCATCCTGTCATAATCTTTTTTTCTGAGGAATCCTGAATCCTAGAGATCAGGGGGAGTACTGGAAATGCAGTTTCCTTCCCTGTTTCCAGGGGCTTGTGCTGCAAGGTCAGGATGACAAGCTGGGGAGGTTTTCAGGGAAAAGTTCTGCTTGGCCTTTGGAGCTCTTGGCTGGAGCTTGTCCAGGGTAAACAGGATCCTCAGAAAATTTTAGCTGCCAAACTCTGATAAACTTCTGCTGAGCATAATATAACACTGATAACTTTTTCCCCTGAGGACTTAAAAATGCCGGACTTGGTGGCTATGCAGGCAGAAAGCAACTGTTTCACTACATCTTGAGAACTGTTTCCTGCCTCTTCTGCCAAATTTCATAGCCTTGCTCCAGCACATGGAAAGTTATAGATTTATTATTTTTTTTTGCCATAGTGGTGAGGGGTTTTGTGGCTTTTTGTGTGTTTGTTTTTCTTTTTTCCACCATCTGCAAAAATATCACTTAATCTCCCCCCAACTCTGTCAGAAGCTACTAAACTTGAAGGAGAGCTGACCCAATTTCCCATAAATACTCTGAGGCAGAGACTTGACTTGAAACATTTTCAACATGAGTGGTTAAATCTGGCAAGGCCATAACTACTTAACGTTTTCTGGTCTATGCTTCTATTTTCATTTAACCTTAACTGTAGAGTCAATGACTGTGGTCTGTAAAAGCTAATCAGTAATTTTGAAGGCAACATATGTTAAAGTACTAAATATTTGGTGTTTTCCTACACCGTACTGCAACTGCTAAGGGAGAATTTTGAATAACTTTTTGCTGTCCTCATCTGATCTGCTTGCCAAAAACTTGGTATGCTGTGCTTCAGAAGCATGCTTGCATTACCTGATTGCCTATTTCTGATGATGATGGCTTCCTTGCTGGATTGTAATGTACTGTAGATTTATTTTTTTTCTTTCCAGTTATTATGCTATACTTATTCTTTCTGAGAGGGAAAAAAAAATGCAGTTATTGGATGACTAGATCTTCTTTTTCATGAATCATGCAAAACAGAAATAATTGGATTGCTGACTCATGGTTTCCTCCCATTGCCCTTTGCTACCAGCCAGGAAATGCATGTTTCTTCACAATGCTTGTGTGTATGGTGTCTGGGGAAAGGGGCTTAGCGACTCTGCCTGAGTCAGGCAGTAGACTTGCATTTATCCAGGGAGTGCTTAGCAGTCTTCCCCATCAAAATGCTTCTTGCTTTTTGGCTTTTCCTTGTGTTGAATTTACTTTTCTAAATGTTGTCTTCCTAGGATCCTCCCTCAGGATTTTATCTTGCTTTTATTTTTATATTAGTACTTTGCCTTTTGCCATTATGCAGTTCTGGAAATTTTTCCCCACTGGTAGTCAAATCTTGGTTTATGTGGATTTCCTGAGTTGGAAAGGATTTGAAATGTGAAGAGTAAAACCAAAGTAAAAAATTTCTGTCAGCAAAACTAAGGCTGGCTTGTGTTAAACTTGTGCCTAGGTTTTGCTTTCTTTAGATTTTGCAAGCATGGGCTATTGCTAATAGCCTTTTGCCCTTAAAAGTTGCATGGCAGATGCGTGGGTGTTTTTCTCCAGAAGGTAAGTTGTGAAAAGGCTATTATGGCTGTTATTCTCAGCTAGGCTGCTAAGTTGTTTTTTTTGGCATCTTTTTTGTTTATCATTTGCTTTGGAAAAATATTTTCAGTCTAGCTTTCCTTTTGGTAAGAAGATCTAAGGAATATACTTCCTGTATCTGTTGTATGTCTGTGCTGCTGTGCTGCTCAGCTGTTTAATACGCTAAAGATGTGTGTGTTGCAAATAGTACATTACTATAACTTCTTCAGAAATCACAAAGCCTTGTCACTTCTTGTTGCTGCTTCTCCTTTTGTGGCCTTGTAGTATGGTGTTATTGCCTGTGTAGTGCCAGACCTCCAGCAGGGTTTCAGCAAGGACTGCATGTGTGTCTGCGCTCGCGTGCATTGTAGCCTGATATTTAATCTGACTTCTTATGGAGCACAAACTAGGAGTTCAGACTCAATTGTCATGTCTCCCAGGAAACTGCTCTAACCAGTAATGTCTTATACTAAATACACTAAGGATGTCTTGTCCCTCTTTATCCCTTACCTGCAAACGTACACTGAAATAAGTGACTTGGATGCTTAAAAGCAAAAAGGTGTCAGCTTTTCTCACACATGGAGAGATATCAAAGGAGATGAAATATTTAGATGCTTTTCAGACTTGTTAGTTGGACTAGGTAGCTGGCCTAGGATGTCCAGTGCTCAGTGTGACTAGTGTGGACCTGACTGCTGCCCGCTTACCTCCTCTCACCTACTACAGGTGATGCAGATTGTTTAAAAATCGGATGGGGTTCAAAAGATCCTATTGTCAAAAGTGTATGTTGACAGTTCCATCTGTGGTCATTGGTAGTATAAGAATGCCTCCCTAGCCTCAAGGGTTCAGCCACCTTTCAGGTATCCTTTTGGCTGCTTGAAATCAAACAGTAGCATGCATGACTGCAGTATCATAACCACAGAAGTGGGTGGGAATCCTTTGTGGGTGACTGACTGCCTTGCTTGTGTTCATCCTAGTGCTGCCTCGATTGATGTGATCACATTTGTGTTTTACAAGCTGACCTTCACATTATATTACAGAGAATTGTCCTGATCAGAATCCTCGTCTTAAAAACTGGAGCCCTGGAAAAGATCCTGAAAAGAGAATTGTTATCAAAAAAGGGGATTTGTTTCGTCTGAACTCAGATGCTACAGTACACTCCATAGTTATACAGGATGGAGGTATGAAGCGGCAAGATGAGCATCATGCTTTAGTTTATTCTATAGTTTTTACTTCTGTGATTACATGAAAAATTTACATGAAAAATGTGTTATAATTTAATAATGTAGCTTATTGACCAGTTCTGCTGCTTTTACTTTTTGGCCTGATACAAGGTCGTTAAGAGCATTAAAAAGATTAATGAATCTGGTAGAGTCTTTCCAGTGGAGCATTGATGTGATTTTCTATAGGCTGTAGTGAAACCAGACTTGTGTAGTAGCCTTCCTTGTATGAGGTCTGATTGTATTTTGATGTTAACTCTGATGTTAGTAATTCTGCCAAAATGTGAGAAAACATTAGGAATAAACCAAGAAATTTCCTAGAAAGATAAATCACAATTGGTAGGAGTTACTTTCTTAGACATTCTTAAACATATGTAAGAGTGTAACAGCTCAATTCATGGGTGTGGAAAATAAGTCTAAATTTTTTCTGTTGTTCTTACTGTAGAACTTGGTTCTTTGAGTCTACCTGAATTTTGCTTTGACCTACAGAAATATTTTTTCCTTTAGGTTTACTTGTTTTTGGTGATGATAAAGAAGGTTCTAAAAATATTACCTTGAGAACTCGATTTATCCTGATAAAGGATGGTGGAATGCTTCATGTTGGAGCAGAGAAATGCCGCTATAAATCCAAAGCAACTATTATTTTGTATGGGAAGTCAAATGAAGGTGCTGATGTGCCAGAATTTGGCAAAAAATTTATTGGTGTGGGCCCTGAAGGAACACTGGAGTTGCATGGGCACCAGAAGTTATCATGGACTCTCCTATCAAAGACTATTAATTTCTCAGGACTGGCCTATTACACATTTAAAAAGAATTTTTCCCGAGGACTAAATGTAAGAGTGATTGATCAGGATACAGCAGAAATTTTGGAAGCACTGAAGTTTGATACTCATGAATTTGCAGAAGATAGCTTGAAGCTCCAGAACTTACTGAAAAGTGGAAGTCTTGGTCGCATTGTTGCTATTGCTGTAGGAGATTCAGCTGCTAAAAATCTATTGGAGGAAACCAGAGTGACTATTCAAAATCTTCTGGGAAGTAAGTTTGTCAGAGGATTGAGTTACAGGTAAATAACTGATTTTCCCTTTTGTGCTGAGTAAAGATTAGATACAGATTCCAATGCCTTGTACGTAGTGCTGCAGTAGTAGTAGTCAATGGGCAGTATTACAGATACTAATAGCTACAGGTATCTGTGTGATAGACTTTATTACTTAGTCATTCCTCGCTTCCACTGTTCTTTACAGAAATTGAAACTTGAGTGCAGCAAGGAATTCTTTCTCTCTCAAACACACATATAGATAACACTAGGTGAAGCTTTTAATGCATGTGACTTGATGTTTGGAGGAGCAAGGAACACCAAGCTAGAAGCTTAATACAAGGAAGGGATGCTAATCCTCTATATGGAACAGTGTCTTATCCATACCTGTGCACTATTGAAATTAACGTACATCACCACTCCACTAATTCTGCAAGGGAACCAATATGTAAAATTATTTTGTTATTGAAGTGTACTTGTAAGGTGTTTCTGTATCTTGTGACCATTCTTTTGAATTTATCACATTTGGATAATGAGACAGTAGAAGAGGTATAAGAGGAATTATTATAAAAGCAGGAAACTTAAACTGCTGTGCTGTTCATTTAGTTGTTGCAAGTGACTTTTTGCAGTGCATCTTGGCGTAGTGCTGCACAGGGTTAGCAATACAAGTGAAAGGAGGACCAAGTCTCCTAACTTATTGTCAGTGTGTTCTTCAGCTCCATGAAGATGGTGTTGTATAACTTGTTTTTATTTTCCTCAAAATAGGCCAGTTAGTTTTTCATTTCCATTCTTACCCCTCAGTATCCCCCAGCATGTGAGTTCCAGTTAATGTCCTCCCTCTGCTCTGGCAGCACCAGGCTGGGGTGTCAGTAAGGATGGCATGTTCTGACCTTGGTTCCCATCAGGAGCACCCATGTGTTGGTAGCTGTGTGAGTGTGTGGTCATGGGATGGAAGGTGCTTGCAGCATGGCCTCTTGAAGCAGTTGGGTCAGAGGTCCTTAGACCTGTTTGTCATGTGATAAGTACCCCCTGGGGAGAAGAGGGAAGCTGGCTGGCCATTGTTAGGTCTCTGTGCAGCCAGTCCTCACCTGGCTCAGAGACGTGGGTTTCTGGTGTTCATCTCTGCCTGTGACCTCCACCCTGAGTTGTCTGAAATGAGGAATTTCTTCAGGATGAAGGTGGGAAGAAGCAGCCTTTCTTCATTCTCTGCCAAACTGATTATTGTCTGTTTTCATTAGTTGGTAGACGCTCTGTAAGCACATAAAATTGTCTAGTTCTGCTGTGGAAGACAGGTGAGAAGCTCTCACCAGGTGCTCACTGATGAAAAGCAGGGTCATTTTGTAAAACCTGTAAAGCCAATGAAGGAGATTCTGGCATGGGGATCAATACTGCGTTATGTCCCTCTTCCCTTTTGCCTCTTCCTGCAAAACAGCATGCATTAAAGGATCTTGATTAAATGTTGGTATGTGAAACTTTCAGCTTGTTTGCTGCTGCTACTGAAAAGCTGACTGAGTATATACTATTCCTGTAAACAGGTTTACACTAAACATCTTAATTGGGCCTTTTATTCCAAATTGGTAAGAACATCATGAGGAGGACTGAAAAAAGACAGATGGATTGAAGGTGGAATTAATATCTGCCTTTGAATCAACCATTAGCAACAGACAGCAGTTCAACTAGCTGACACTGTTTTGATTTGGGGTGAATGATTCAACTTTAATGATGCAAAATTATTTGGCTTTTTTGGTAGATGATCTCAACTGCTTCATCTGCACACATAATTATGGCATTACAGAGCAATAAAGGACAGCAAAATAGCCTTGTTTTTTGAACTTGGTAGCAGCTTTCTGTGGCATGCAGTTTGTTTTTAATTTCCAAAACCTTGGATGCCTTGAGCAGAGCTGTAGGAAGAGGAAGTACATCCAGTACAGTTTCCTTCTCTACCCTGGTGCTCAGCCAAGTAGGTGTCCAGCTGAGGGAAAAGCCAGTGAGGGAGAAAAGCAAAAATCCTTGGTCTCAGCCTTAGAAATGTTGGTAATCCCTTGTGCAAAGCTTGTGTACTGGAACCCAGCTCCTTTCTGGGTCTGAACTGTATCTGTCCCTTCTGGCCATAATCTCCTGGGATTCCTGGCTGCCACTCTGGGCCACCACTTGCTGTGGTGCCATGACGTTACTGGGCTGCAGCAGGAACGTCAGCACTGGCTTCTGGTTTTCCTGTGCCTCAGTAAGTCTGTTTGGGAGTAGGATCGTACATTGTTTCTGTCACTCATCTTGTGCAAGTTTTTTTTTTTAAAAAGTGTATCTTGTTGGATGTGTACTAAAAATGTATCTGAAAGTCTTCCCCATTAAGAGGTCTGGTATTGGTCAACTTTTATATGGGACATCCAGTTATTTTAAACCATTTTCCTTTGCAGTGAGGTCTGCCCATTTTTCTTTTGTATTCTGAAGTTGCATTTTAAAACTGATCTGGAAGAGCAGGAAAAAGGATTATTTATGAGTTCTATACTCCTTGTCTAGTCCTTTACCTGTTTATGAAGGGGCTTTTGTATGTAAACATCTACTTTTGTTTTTCACAGGCAAGCCTGGGCTTTCGTTGGTGTCATAGGAGGTGGAAATTCTTCCTGTAATGAATCAGTGAGAAACTATGAAAATCACAGCACTGGTGGGAAAGCTCTTGCTCAGAAAGAGTTTTTCACAGTGGAAGGTCAGAAGTTTGTTGTGAGAGCTTACAGCGAATGGAATGATGGTAGGAAAGCATTTTGTGAAATCCTGCAGTTGGGGAAGAAGTAAAAAAGTGCTGTCTGTGCTTTTGTTCTTCACTAGAACTGTTGTTTGCAGTTTAAGTTTCAGGGCTGCTGTAAGTTTTTTTGGGTTGTTTGTTTTTTTTTTTTTAAATTAGGTGTCCCGATTTCAGGCTTCCAGGTGGAAGCTGTAGGTGGAGTGATACTGAATCTTCTGGATGATGTTAGTAGTTGGGAGCCTGGAGACCGGATTGTGGTGGCAAGCACAGACTATTCAATGTATCAAACAGAGGAATTCACCCTCCTTCCCTGCCCAGAGTGTACCAAGCATCAAGTCAAAGTCAAAGGTAGGAGAGCAGTCACCACTTCAATATTTGTGTGAAGTATGTGTTCATGGTAGTACACGCCAGATGGTCCTTTTTAGAAGGAGCCATAAAGAACAGCGTGTTCACCTATCTGCTACATAGCTTTGTTGCTGTATACAAGAATGTGCACTTCTTGTTACAGAAATGCTCTGTGTAGTGTCAGGTCTGCCTCACAGCTTACCATACTAACATTTCTTTCTCCTTTCTTCTCAGGTTCACTGAATGCTTTAGCATTCTTCCAAAGGCATTATTATACTGGTTTTCCTTTCTTGGCTCCTTTATGTCTTTTCACTAGTTCTCTTCATATGTGCTTGAGTGGCTATTGTGGTCATTACCATTTCCTTTGCCTTTAGTGACCTTCCCATCTTTTGAAGTGTTATCACTATAATTTTTGTTTGTTACTAAAACCTCAGAAGGGGAAGAAAAAAAGAAATAGTAAGACAGTCTTTGAACCTGTCTTTTTTGTTTGTTTGTTTTATAATCTCAGTTCCCTTTTCACACCCCACTAGCAAAAATGGTTATGAAGTAAGTGGCACTTCTAAGCCTCTGGTCACACAGGATATCCCTTTGTAGTTGCAATCTGTTTTTCCTTTGGGTGTAATGCGCACAAAATGGCCTTGCGAGTTGACCATTTCCTTTTTTATTATCTGAGTCATTCTGCCTGACTTCACAAGAGGCTCTCCTGGGGCTGGCTGCCCTGCTTTGCTGGTGTCTGTGTTTTCCTTCTGACGTGCTGTGCCAGTTCCCTCCTGAGATGGAAAAAGCATATCTAAGTTCAAGTTATTATATATCCAAGAGCACCAGGGTGCATGAAGACCTGACTTAGGGCCATTGAGGATGGCACTTCCTGGGCTTTGTTATTAAGTGTCACACGTTGTATGGTGGTCGCTGAGCACAGTATTTTAAAGAGAAAGCTTAACCCGAAGGTTGCAGTACAAAGTTAAAGGTTTTTGTCACACTGAACATGCAAACTCTGTTTCATCTCCAAAAATACATGCCTATCTGGTCTATGTGTAGGTATTTAAAAGCTGTTACAGGAGATGTACTGGCCTATCTCAGGTGGTTTTGCAACCCCAATATCAAGTTTCCTTTGTCGTGGGAACAGATACTGTTTAAAAAAAATCCCCAAACCACCCTATGTACTTGTTTTACAAAGAATGTATTTTTTGTGGAATTGCAATTTTATTTTAGTTTTGTAAAGTTTTTAGCTGTTTTGTCCCCTTTGTATTAGGAAAGCTATGAAGTACTGTCTTGTTGGAGGCCTGTTTGCTCTTTCTTAGCTTGATTCATGTATGCTAGTCAAATAGAGGGAAAAACCATAGGTAAGCCTTCAAGGAGTGGAATGCAGTTCCATCTACAGAAATCTATTATATTTTAAAATCCTGAACAGCAGGTATAGAACTAATACCACTCTTTATTCTGCTTCATGTTGTGCTAATGATCAGTTTCAGCTTGTATCCTTTTGTAAGCTTTGACAGGGTAGTGACAGTTTATATTCAAGGAATCAATAGATGAAAAAAAAAGGAAGCCAAGGAGAGAAATATATTATTAAAAAATAAACACAGATACATTTTTTAGGTTTACAGGACCAGATAGTTTTCTCAATTTGTGCAGACGAGATACTTACTATTCCTTTCAAAAAACAGTGTAAAACTAGAGTATCTCTTTTCCCCCTAATTTTAGTTTGTGTCCTCAGAATAGCTATCTAGCAAACAGCAAATTTAGTTAGGAAAAGCCAATCCTTGTTTCTTTCAGAAAGGGAAATAAAATAAGGTGTATTGGTCTGGAGATGTTTTGGCCTCATTTTCAGTTCTTAGTTTTTCTTCAGAACAGGTTAAGCAGCCAATGTTTTTCTTTCCTAAAAAGTTTATCTTCATTTATGTTTTGGTAAAAGTTTTCTAAATATGTTGGATTAATTTAAACTTTGCTTTTTATACATTCTGTTCACAAACTATTGGATTGAAATAAAGATGTACTTGCAAATAAATGTGTTTGTTCAGGATTGGTTGTCTTATTAAAATGAAGAATATATAGACAGCAGTTTGTTTTGGGAGGAAGTATGGAGTAGCACGCTTGGTTCATCATCCTGCAAGGTGCTTGATTGCAGTCTGGAAAGGGGGAATTTACTTGGTGTTAGCTGGGTTAGTGTTTGACCTTAACAATTATTAGCTTTCCTTGTGCTGAGGCACACAAAAAGCAAAGGGACAACAGCATGTGAAGGTGTCAGAATGTATGGGATTTGTTGTTATAATTAGCCTGCTTGCATAAAATAAATTGGTTTTGGCTTTAATCAGTGATAACTCTCTTATTTTTTCCCCTTCAAAACTATAGAAAATCCTCAATTTCCTCATGTAGGAGAAGTTATTGATGGAGTGGACATGAGGGCAGAAGTCGGAGTTCTTACAAGGAACATCCTAATCAAGGGAGAGACAGAAGATACCTGCTATCGTGACAAGGAGTGTCAGTTCTTCAATTATGATACATTTGGTGGACATATTAAGGTCTGAAAATCATTTAAAGAAGTTTTCTGTCATGTAAAGGCATACTGTAAAGGGATACTGAGGACAAAAAGAGTAATGCAAAACTTGGAAGGATTTGAAATCTTAGATAACATGATTTTATGCAGTTCCTTTGCACAGAAATGTCTTCATTCTCAGCTTCCCTAAAATTATATTTAACTTACCAAGACTTAGTTTGTAGAATTGGAGGAAGGGATATTAATGCATTAAATGTTTTGGATGTATCCAGCATCTGTTGCAACATCTTACGGCAGGGTTTAAACTCTGCAAGTGACATCCGTGCATGTGCATCCTGTAATATTACAGAGTAAAGTTTAAGCTCCCTTTTCTCTGTCCTTCATCTTTTCCCAGCCTTTATCCCTCCCCAGATGATAAGCATTAAATCCTAGGGATCTGCCTTACCTGAAACTGGGCACTAAAGAGGCATGGAAATGAGAGAAACTGAGATGGACTGTGGTGGTTTTTTATTATTATTATTTTTTAAACTTAAAGTACTGTATTAAAATAAAGGAAATGGCTTCTAATTTCTTGTATTACCGTGAGCATAAGGAAAGCTAAGGGAAAGCAGTATTGTAGAAACTAACATTTAAACTTGTATTCACTTACGTTTTTAGATTGAAGGATTGAGCAGCATTATATCAGCTCTTCACTGATGCTGAAGAAGTCTGAAGCCTTGCATTTTAAATGCAAACGCTTTTGTGCTCATTATGTGCTGGTCACAGTTGAAATCTCTAATGTATTTGGGTGCAGATGTTAATTTTAGAGTGGAGGACATAATGGTGGGAAAGAAAATATGCCCTGTCCCTCCTGTGGGGCAACTTTAGTTTTTTGGAAAAGAAGTAGGTGAGGTCAAAGCACTCCTTTGTGTTTAAGATAATGTAATGAAAGAAGAGAATTACAAGGTATGCATCTTGCAAGCCTGACCTTGATTGCCACAATAGAGAAAATACAGCAGACCCCTCAGATGTCTGGAAGATACAACAGAAAACAAACATTTTGAATCATCAAAGTAGTTAAACTGTTCCCAGGAGGCTGTTCAGAGCAGCTGAGTGTCTGCTGCCAAACCTAGATTTTAGCACTAAAAGCATTTTCATCTTATTGTAATCTTGTGTGCACTGTAGCAAACGCTAATGGCCTCGAAGGCTTTCGTCGTCCTGGATTTTCTGCTGGTTACTGGGACAGTAGCATAAAGGAGGTTAAGTGGCAGTGAGGATGACCCTTAGTTTGTGGTTTTAC